AGATATTGTCGAGTCATTTATTAAATGTCTGAATTTTTTCGTCAGAACAACCGAATTAGGTAGATCTTTCTAATCTGCTATTACCTGATTCAGATAATTTCAGTTTATTTAAGCAAAATTTTGGTTGTTAAACAACTGAACTCCCTTCTTGTTACAACCAAGCAAATTATATTAAAAAACTGAAAATGGAAACTTTAAACACCTACAGACGTTTTTTGAAAAAGAGTCAGACTGACGATTTGTTCCAAACGTTTGAAACATTAACATTACTAAACGTGCTGTACAGTAGTCAGTCTATGCAAAGTCGGCGCGATCTCAGTTTCTGAGGAAGACGAATTGAATGCCCACACTCACACTCTACGGACTTCAAGTACTAAGAAAAAACAAACTTTACTGAAAAAAAACAGTAGTAGTATAACATTCACAAACTGTTAGAACGACACGCTAAGACGATGTTGGCCAGGCGACATTGTGACGTTTAATGGTATACTAGTCTAGCTCGAAGGATGTGGACACGAAATCTGTATGCAGAGCATTCCTTGCCGCACGTTATGCGGAATGTTGGTATCAGGTCGCCTCTTAGCTGTCTGTTACTCGGTGGAAAAAGGCTTAAATTAATTATAGTTCACTGAGAGCAAAACCTAACTCGTACACCAAATTTGACGTAGTTTGTCTTCAATTTATATTGGTGACCTCGTTGATTTGTCGTGCGTGCCAGTTCAAAAAATCGTCCTACTTGGGTAATCAGTCTACTCCTGGACGAGTTTAAAGGCCGCAATCATGTCCCCTCGGTATTCCCTATGAGAGACAGAGGAAGAAGTTCGAGCCTTTTTGGCCTCTCCTTAAAATGTAGGCCTTCCTGCCCCCTGACTAATTTGATCCTCCTTCTTAAACCTACTCCAAGACATGGGCGTCTTGCTTCATCAAAGAGCGCCATGCATGGATGCAATATTCCAAAATCAGCCGAATAAATGTTCGAAAAAGTCCATCCAAAAGCTTTTCATGAAAGTTAAAGAGGGATCTTCGGATGCACATAGCCCTCTTTGCTTTTTTGGCGAAGTGAGACGAGGGTTTGAGAGTGGACTTCATCCACATACCTAGGCCCTTTAATCCGTTTACAAGCTCTAGTTCTCAACCTTTGATGAAATAGTGATAGTAAGATGACGAAACTGTACACCTGGTTAATTATCGCACGATGTCTATCAAGCCCAATCTTCTTGTCGTCAATTCAAAATCGTCATGGACATTTAGATTTCTCAAAGCACATCATGAGCACACACCATGCTTCTGTAGATAATTTTCCCCGTGTCGTTTGTGTGGCATAATTGCGCCGGTTGTCCTTTATCGGTAGGGATGACAGTCATCTCGAAGACACAACGGTAGATATTGAGACGGAAGTATTTCTGACGACGGTGACTTCCGTTTCGCCTAGCTCACTCTCTCTTTCCCCCCAGAAAACATACGACCTAGATAAATTTGGTAAGGAAATGACCCCCAGATCACATTTGAAAAGCATGTGAAATCACATTAAAGTTCAAAAACAAGGCGTTTGCACCCCAGATGGCACATCGTTTTGCAGAGAGCACAATCAGAAGTCGCTTCAATCGGGTGTTCATTCCACGGTTGAAGAAAGTTAACGAGACATTTGAAAGCTTTCATCCGAGGCTTATTAGCACACCTCTTGCTGACTAAGGCATCGGTTACCACGTCCTATGCACTGTTGCAATTGAACCCCAATTCTGTTGCAAAGGAAAGCGTGGCCTAGTAACACTAAATTATAAGCATAATTCCCCAGTATAAAGATTCAGACGCTTTCCATGCTCAAAGAATGTAAATAATGGAAAAAGTAGAACAAGGGTTATTCTAAGATCACAGTAAACTTTTTTGAGACGCGGCTCCGCTGCAAAGAAAACAAAGTTTATGGGCTGTACAGTCCTGAGTTTCACTTACGACGAACTAAAAACGAAAAGAAAAACCAGAAAGACATCTGGAAGTAAAAATGTACGCCTAAGACGAAGAGGATTTCCGATCGGGCGACAGATAAGTCATTTGAACGAAGTGCGCGAGTGGTTGACAAAGGTCGATTGTACCGTCGGCGGAAACAGCTCGCAGTGACTACGAAAGAAACCCAAGTTCATTATTGTTTGTTGAGCGACTACGTAAACTGTTGGTCACTGTTTGTTAAGTTAATTGAACGTCGAGGATTCAGACGCCTGTTACATTCGTTTTAGTGGATCTGAAGAAAAACGCAAGAAGTTAACTGGAGTAATATCGGCAGTTTTGCATGCGCGTTTTAGCAAAACCCCTCTGCAAGAACGAGTGGTTAAAGATGGTTCACCAAGAAGCGTCACAAGTTGTGTAGAAGCAGTAATTTAATGTGGATTTGACGTCTGATGTCTTCGCAGCTTTCGCTATCTTCTAGGAAATTATTCGTTTTAAAATTTATAACAGATATTTAAATTCCATGATTCGCATGCTACTTACCTTTTGCGGACTTTAGCAACTAAATTATAGACATTTAAATTTTTCTGGTGAAATAGACCTTTTACTGCGCTAGAATTTGTGACCCGAGATTAACAAGCAGCCCAATTGGTCCTTCTGGCTGATTGTGTTTGCTGGGCGATTGGCTAAACAAAAAAGTCGCGGTGTAACGTGTCCGATCCGATTGAGGGCGAACCCCAAGGAGAATTAAGGCAATTTATAAAGAAATAATGAGACGTGTATTAAACTGAACCTACTACAGTCCTCGCTACTGGCCTAATGTACACAGATAGGGCCGCAGGAGTC